CCTCTCACTCCTATGAATGAATGAAGTCCTTCTCATCCTGCGAAATTTAGCTGAAAATTTACCTCCACCAGGAAGCCTTCCAGGATCCTCAGACAAAGTCAATCACTCCCTCTTGTACATTTCACTGCAATACATCTGACAAGAAACAAGAGTGATATAATGGGAGAAGCAATAGGTGGGTTTCCTTCTTAGCCTGAGGTTCTCTGAACCTAATAGAGATCTGTTTGGATCTAAGGTCAGCAGGTTGGTTCCCCAGCGTAGTCTGGCACAAAGCAGAAGCTGTGTTTGATGAATAAAAGAAGGTAACTCATGGCTGGCGTGTCCAAGTGCCTGACTGACCTGTTCATAGTGACGCTCCTAGGCCCTCACTGATTTTCAGAGCCCAGCAGCATGACTTGGCCATTCCAAGCTTCATCTGTTGCTGCAGGTCAGGAAAAAAACAGTATAACCCCATCCCACCCTCCCAACCATCTCAAAGGACCCATGCAATACTGGGCACTCTTTGGGGAGCTTTAAGGAAGGGCTAAATTCATTGCTATCCCCGCAGTTGCCCAGGTTCAAAACAGGTTTCCCTTTAGATTTTGTTTCCTTTTTTTCTTTTTTCTTTTTTTTTTAAGAATTATTTTTATTTACCTTTATTTATTCATTCATTTTATTTTAATTTGATCAGACACAAAGAGAGAGGGAGAGAAAGTGAGAAAGCAAGCTGCCACCAGGTCCAGGACTCAACCCTTGGTCAGCCACGTGGGAAAGTCCAGCACCATAACCACCACGCCACCTGCTGGTCCCTCCTTTTTTTCTTTTTAAAAAAATTTTGTTATAGGGTACGTATGCACTCCTGGAGAAGAAAGAGAGAGCACAAGAGAAAGTAAGAAGGCTCCTCTTCCAGGGGGGATGGCCACACTGCAATCCCTTCTCCTCCATTCTCAGATTTGGGGTACACATTCACCTATGCCTGGTGTGTGTTTCAAGCTACTTGGTCCAGGACTTGAATCACACAGTCGGCCATGTGGGATCCAGTTGTCTTAACCACCATGCCACTGACTGGTCTGTAGACCTGATCCCTCATTTTAAAAGTTTTATTTATGGACCAGCAGGTGGCGTAGTGGTTAAGATGCTGGACTGACATGTGATCCACTACGGTTCAAGTTTCAGACCTGACAGCTTGAGACTCATACTGGGCACATGTGCATGTGTGCCAAAATCACAAGAAGAGAATGAAAGAAGGGATTGCAGTGTAGCCATCCTCCCTGTGGAGTGATTTTCTCACTTTCTGTCTTTCTGTCTCTCTGGCGAGCACACATGCATATAGCAAAAATCTCTCTCTTAAAAAAAAAAAAAGTTTTATTTATGTTTTCTGTTAGTAAGGGAGAGCCAGAGAAAGAGAAAGAGGGAGAGAATCCCCTCCATGGTCTTGATGTTGCCATATACCCCCATCCTTCAACCAGCCCAGAATCATGGGCAAGTGTATGCCTGGAATACTCAAGGAGGTCTCTGAACTTGTCGAATTGCTCTGTAGAGCATTCGACTTTTACCACCGTACCACGTTCTGGATTCTAGACTTGTTCTACTTAATCAGACTTCTCTGGCATTTGTCTTTCCACGCCATGCCCACCATCTCCACCGCTGGCTCTGTCCTCTCTGCTTTTCCTGCATCTCTTGTAACTGGCTTGTAGACCTCCAAGCTCTCTCTGATTCAACCCTCCCTCTACCTAAAACCTACCCAATGAAGAAATGTGAATTCACTGCCATGTGGTGCTGTCTTCCCCAGAAAATGTACACCACTTGTGAACTTACGCCACACATTTTCAGTGCTCCTTTACACTACGGCAGCTCACAGTGTATCCCCTATGTCCAACTCCGGTCATTCTTCCACTCTGTATTTTTTCAATATTTTAAAACCGTAACTTAATTCCATATAACCATAATACTTTAGTTACACATCTGTCTCTCCTGCTAGATTTTGACTAGACCGTACCATATTTATCTTTCAATTATTCTGAGTGCTTGGCACAGGGCCCAGCACTTAGTAGATTCACAGTATATGATATACGAAGGAATGAATCTCTACCTAGCCCTTATATACAAACGCCATCATTTTCTACTTTTTTAAAAGAAGCGTATCTCGGGCTGGCAGGTGGCGTGGTGGTTAAGGTGCTGGGCTCCCACAGAGTCAACTACAGTTTGAGTCCTGGACCTGGTGGCTTGTTTTCTCACTTTCCCTTTCTCTCTGTCTCTCTGTGGTCAGATTAATAATAATAATGGTAAATAAAATTAAATAAATAATTCTTTTTTTATAAAAAAAAGTTTTTCTCTTTCATGCATGAGAGAGAGAGGGAGAGAGAGAGAGAAAGCTACAGAGACAGTAAGTCCCCACAACATGGTTTGGACACCATATTCTACCTCCATTCTTCAGCCAGCCTCGAATCATGGGCAAGTGTGCGCCCAGCATACTCAAGGAGGTCTCCAGATGCAAACCTGGAACCTTCCCTGTGGGTCAGTCTTACAGAGTACAGTGGTTACCACTGCGCCACCACCAGGGCCCTATCATTTTCTACTTTAGGGTGTAGCTCTGGACATATCATGCCTTCCCTGCTGGACTTTGAATTTCTTAAAGAGAGGGATTATATCTTGCCACATATTAGACTTTTTTTTTTCATCTTTGAAGAGTCTTTTTATTAAGATAAATCAAGTTTTACTTGATTTATAACCAAAATTGCCCTTCTGAAATAAATATTTGCATTTCTTTTAAAAATGGGATTACAGGGGCCAGCAGGTGGTGTGGTGGCTAAGGCGCTGAACAGTCCCACATGGCTGACCACGGTTCGAGTTCCGGACCTGGTGGCTTGCTTTCTCACTTTCCTTCTCTCTGTGTGTCCATCTTTCTCTGGTCAAATTAAAATAAATAATATTAAATAAATAATTATTTTTTTAAACATGGGATTACAACTTTATTTCTTCACAAGCTAATAATAAAGTTATATTTGGGAAAGATAATCCTTTTTTTTTTTTTTTTTTTTTTTTTTGAGAGGTTTTAGCTATTGGGCGCATGCGCTCGCCAGAAAGACACAGACAGAGAGACAGAAAGTGAGAAATCACCAAATTACCCCCCAGGGGGGATAGCCACACCGCAATCCCTTCTCCTCCATTCTCCTCTCAGGATCTTGGGCATGCACACACACATGCCCGGTGTGAGTTTAAGCCACCAGGTCCAGGACTCAAACTGCAGTAGACTATATGGGAATCCAGCGATGTAGCCATTATGCTATCTGCTGGTCCTGCGAAAGATAATTCTAACTCTTAACATTACATGAAAATAGTTTGCCTTCTTTATAAAAGCAACTAGAGAACTACAAGAATATTGGATGAAACTCTTTTAATTTGTTAAATTATCATACATATAGGAGTAGAATTAAAATTCAAAGATTCAATATGTAACTTACACGAAATGAAATACACTGACAAAAAATAAATCATATTTTTTCTGTGTATGTCATCACTATAATCACAAAATTTACAGGTAAAGATTTCATGTTGGAAACTGTATGAAGTTGTTCTGAAATTAAATGAATCCTAAAGAAAAGCTGTGCTTATAAAATATGCAATAAAATATTTATTTCTATTAACATTACAACATAAAGATACATATTACCAGATTATTAAACTGTTTAGGTAAATTTTTTAAAATTTAATGTTTAAGTACATTTTAAGCAGTACTCAGAGATTCCCCCTTTTTCCATCTTTTTTTACCTTTCTTTTTCTATTTTTTTTCCAACTCCAGTCTTGTTTTCATCTCCTCCATCTTTCCCAATTTCTTTTCCATTTTCTTTTTTCTTGTCTTCCTCTTCTTTTCCATCTTCTCTCTCTTTTCCATTCCCCTCATTTTGATCTTCTTCTTTCTCTTTTCCATCTTCCTCATTTCCATCTTCGTCTTCTTTTCCATCATTCTCTTCTTTATCTTCTTTGCCTTTTCCA